ACACACACACACACACACACACACACACACATATATATATATATATATATTTAAGTATACATTTATTTTAAAAGAGTTATGTCCCCCCAAAATCCAAAAGGCTGGAGGTATAGCTAAGTAGTAGAGCATGTGCCTAGCTTGAACAAGCCACCCAGAATAACAACAACAGAAGTGCAAAAATAACATCCATGGGAAATTAAATTGGTTTTTAAAACCAATACCACCAAAACCCATTTTGACATACTGGGTATTCAAAGAGTATAATAGAGAGAGTAAAATGAATGAACTTGAAGCAGATGCCCAATTTGGAGAAATCACACCCTTGAAGTACATCAGAGTAGACAAATCACTTATTCTTATCTCATTAAAACAGATTCTCTAAGAAGGCCTTCTACCATAACACCTTCATATTATCTTATTCAAACAGTTACCTCAATGTAGAAAAATTCATATACTGCCCTGCACAGATGGAGTTAAGACCCGAATGAATGTATATTACTGACATAGACACAGTCATGTCAAGGGTCAATGCCTCAGGCAAGGCTCAGAGGGATGGAAAAGCCTTACTGTGATCTGAGTACAACTGTTGAAAATATGTATAGAAAATATTCACCACAGCTTCACCCCTCCACAAGGTTTGACAGCCTGAGGATGGCTCCTTACAGAGACTGCTCCTGCAGAGATGAGCTGCCCTGCCTACTCTTAACTATATGAAATAACCACACCTCCCTGCTTCCTGAGTGCCGCAGCTTTCCTTCTGAGAGCCCAGACCAATCAACCCCAGCTGGTCTATGTGTCTGTGTGTTTGTCATTTCTGTGTTTCCTAGTCACTCTAATCAGGTCTAGTCAGGGCTCTCTGAAGCCATGTAGCACATAGCTATGTCCAGTTTATAAACACCAAAACCTTATAATTTAGACAGCTCTTCCTTCTAGTGAGAGTCAAAGAATTTTCTCTATAAGTTATACTTACAAATACTCCACATCAACAACAACAACAAAATCTTTTAACTGTGGAAGCGAAAGGGACTTTCTCCATTTTACAATCTCACCAACTCAGTATTTCTATCTGGTCACAGATAGTTCACTACAAGGTAAACATAGGAATGTTGAAATCCATCTTTACCAAGAATCTGATTCATCTGCTGAAAGTAATTTTCATTACACATGAAAGGCACTACCCAGGTCTTTAGAGAACAAAAGGCACGGCAGGAAACCAGCTGAAAAGATAAGGCTGCTCTCTGTGTCAATTATGAAAAGGATAAGTCATGGGCATTTATAGAATCAGTGGAAAGGGATGCCGTCACTTAGAGATTGTTTTCCTGCCAGCATGATGTATGCATACTCTCCATCCACCCCCTGAATAACCACACACTGGTCAGGATCAAATGCCCTGTCTCCTTCACACGATCCAGGGGGCATCTAGGCTAAACCAAGATGACTTCCTTAAGTTACCATTCCCCACCTCATGCCAAACCCCTTCTCTGGAACTGGACCTGTGGCCTGGGCACAGGTTACAGAAGCACTCTACCATGCAGCTACATCCCAAGAGATCCTCTTACCTCAGCCTCCTTTACAAACAAGCACAGCTAACCTATCACTTAAAGAAAAGAAAATAGTCCAGAAACATGTCACCGGCACTGTTAACGTTTTTATTTATTCATTGGGAATTTCAGACACATACATAACATATTTGGTCACATTCACTTCTTCTTCCAACTCTTCTCAGATCCTCCCCAACATCCACGTCCCAACTACACATCCTTTTCAAATGTGTGTGTGTGTGTGTGTGTGTGTGTGTGTGTGTGTGTGTGTGTGTGTGTGTGTGTGAGTGTGTGTGTGTATGTTTATGCATGTGTGTTTGGACATTTGTGCAGGTGCCCACAGAAGTCGGAAGAGAGCCTCAGATCCTCTCCAACTAAAGTTACAGACCCACATGAATGCTGGGAAACAAAGAACCAAACTCAGTCCCCTGGAAGAGCAGCAAGTGCCCTTAATTGAGACATCTTTCCAGCCATGCCCACCACTACTACCACCCCTGTTCTGCTTATGTTTGTTTGTTTGTTTGTTTGGTTGGTTGGTTTTTATGACCCACTGGGTTTGATTAGCAGCACTAATTTTAAACATACAACTTACTTTAAAGACGAATGGAACTTAACAATTCCAATTTTCATCACTAGCAGGATATAGAAAATAAAATGGCCTAATTTTTTCTAACATTTCATATGCCAATAGTTTGGTGCTATACATTACCAAAAACTAAACAACAACAAACAACTTGACTGATGTGAGAAACAGGCTGAATCCATGATGCTAAGGGGTAAAAAAGCAATGCAAAGTACTATCTTAGTATGCTGTAGTCAAGTTACTTAGGAAACAAACAGGTTCTACCACACAGGTTCAAAACTCAGGTAACTTCATCTAAGGGTGAGAGCAGGAATTTAAGCAATGCACAACTGAAAGCCTTGAACAACTTCCTTACTAACTACTTTCCTTGGATGAAATGTAGCATTGCATAGGCTGAAGCATATTTACAACCAACTGTCAATGTAAATATAAGAGATGCTAACACACTAGTAAAGGAACCAGATTAGCCTTGCTGATTTTGCCCCATCTTCCTGGTTGCCTAGCAACGGATTCAAAGTGAAAATTAAATTAAGCATCCAAATATAATATTAAAGTACCCTTCTGGAATTTTGCAATTCCATGGTTCCATGGTGCCCTTTACTATTTGGATGGCACAGCAAAGCAAAATTAAAGTTCTTCTGGGTCCCAACTCTGTGCTAAGTATAGAACTACTCAAATAAATACAAGACACTCAGTAGCAGAATATATACATATAATCTACAAGGAGGGAAGTGAGCATGTTTGTGTGTACGTATGTGTCTACACATGAATACACCCACACATGCTGTGGTTTGGTCTCATTCCAAAAATATGCCACAAAGGAAATCTTATATGACAGGTGTTATTTTAGGCCTTTGAGGAATAAACTAAATTAAGCTTTCAAAAAAAAAAACAGTTAGGAATATTCCTAAACTTTAGCATATGCCACACTGGGTTAGGAGAGGAGAACTCAGCTGAATTGAGGGGTTGGTAAAATGTTCTAGGGCTGGATGAGCTAGACACCAGAGGGAAGAGGGTTCAGGCATCCTCAATGGCTTAAGTGCATTCTAGAACTGAGTTGGAGAAGAAATGGTGAACCCCACTGTAGATGTGTTAATTAGGAAATAAGGACTTGGGGTTCACACTTAAGAGAAAATGGAAGCCTGAGAAGCCACATATGTGCCTCTAGCCAACTGGAATTGAATAGAAGGGAAGAAATTAAGTGTTCTTATCAGGGACTACA